AAACTGAAAAATGAAGAAAATAATGTGTGGGTGAATATTTGAGTTGTGGACCACATTATAAGTGAGGTGTAAGCATAAAAAGTTAGGCCCATTTAGCAAAAAATGCATTTGTGAGCATATTTGACTTTTGGCAATTTTGCAAAAAAGGTCAACTTTGACAAGGCATAACTCCTCCAGTTTTAACCCTAGAGAGGTGTTCTTGGACTTTTTAGAAATCTTAGGATGTCACCTAAGCAACCCTTTTAGTCTCATCTCAATTAAGTCTTCCATATTCATGTATGAAGCTTTGACCCAAAAGGTGTTTTTGTTGACTTTTCAAAAGGACCTATAATGTCAAAATTCATATCTTTTTATGAGTGCATATTTTGAACTTGTGAGCTGAATATGAATTGTAGGGAATTGCATCCTCTTCAAAATGAGATTTGGATGAAAAATTACTGATAAAGTATGAAGAAGTTATGCTTGGTCAAAGTTGGGTTTTGATGAATTTGGAGCATTCCTTGAGGAATCATGATCAAACCTTGATCAAATGATGGATAAAACTTCAAAATGAAGATGTTGACCAAAAAGCTTGGAGTTTAACTGTGTGTGGGCCACAGTTGACTTTTGACCTAATATAGTCGATTCTCAAGCATCTGAGCAGTTGGCTGGGAAAACTTCTTGTGAAAAGCATGACACTTGACATGTAGGGTCTTGAGAAGATATTAAGACCATGGAGAGCATAGGAGACCTTTTTGGTCTTCTCATCTTGATTAAAAATGAAACCCTAATTTGAGGTATACTGCCTTAGGAGTGAGTTGGTCTAGTCAACTCTTGGACTTCCTTGAGCAACTTGGGGACCTCAATAGACATGTATTGAGTATAATGAGAGAGCAAATTTTGGGGTACAACAGCTGCCCCTGTTCAATCTTCTTAAACCTGAGGATGTAGATTGGTTGCTCTGCCTTTCGTGATCTGAAGGTGGAAGATGATTGAACACTAGAGTGCCCAGAAATTTGCACTCGCGGGAAGTGGCACTTGATTTGTGATATCGGGAATGGGCTTACAGATGCCATTTGGAGGTCGGGGATTGAATATTGTCAGAGATGGGCTTAAAGATGCCTCCTAGATGCGACGGAGAATTGCAGGAGATGGGCTTAAAGATTCCATCTAGGGGATGTTGATTTCCTGTCTTGGGAGAACTAGAGTTTTAGGAGCTTCAGTTGTCCGTTACTCTACTGGGGAATAACTATGGCTTGAGGAAGCGGAAGTGTACTGCGTATCTGGTCGGGGTACAAGCTGCACCGCGATTTACCGGGGAGATGTGAAACCAATAGTGTTTGATCAGGTTCTAGTCTTACAGTGTTGTGGATCGCTATTTTGGGATAAGAAAGGGAACCTGGATAGTAAGGTTTTGTGTGAAGGAACCTAGATAGTAGGGTTACTTCGATATGAAACCCTGGATAGTAGGGATGTGAGAAGCAACCTGGATAGTAGGGTTACTTCGATATGAAAGCCTGGATAGTAGGGTTGTGAGAAGGAACCTGGATAGTAGGGTTACTTTGATATGAAAGCCTGGATAGTAGGGCTGTGAGAAGGAACCTGGATAGTAGGGTTACTTCGATATGAAAGCTTGGATAATAGGGCTATGAGAAGGAATCTAGATATTAGGGTTACTTCAATATGAAATCCTGGATAGTATGGCTGTGAGAAGGAACCTGGATAGTAGGGTTACTTCGATATGAAAGCCTGGATAGTAGGGCTGTGAGAAGGAACCTGGATAGTAGGGTTACTTCGATACGAAAGCCTGGATAGTAGGGCTGTGAGAAGGAACCTGGATAGTAGGGTTACTTCGATACGAAAGCCTGGATAGTAGGGCTGTGAGAAGGAACCTGGATAGTAGGGTTACTTCGATACGATAACGTAGATTAGTTGACCTGTTTGATTTCGGGAACTAAGCTTCCATTAGTCGTCTGTAAATATGATCTGTGTAACTGTTTGATTTGTTGAAGCTACTCGTCTTTTCCTGAAAGGATATCAGGGTTAGTTATATGCGATGCATGAAATGCAGGGTGAGATGATGTTCTCAAAATAAATGAGATTATGTTGTATATGTCATGTATGCGCATGTCATGATGTTTTTTCATGAAATACTATCGGGGTATGCTCGCGTTTGGGAAAATAAATCCCTGATCATTGCTGGAGAGTTGTGAATATTTTGTCAGGAAGAAGATGTTGGAGAATAAACTCTGTGGGGACCAAACTTTGAGGGAAGAGATACTCTGTTGGTAGAACTGCTGACTTGGAGGAATAAATTTAGCTGGGGATGCAATTAAGTTGTGGGAGGTGATGAGCTCTGTTGGAGATTGAGCTTCTGTAACTTATAGAAATAAACTCCGCTTGGAGGATGAATTTTACTGACTAGCCCGCAGTTATGAACCTTGGCTGGGGATAGTTACGTCCTTCTTTGGGGAAACTCACATCAATGCCTTTGGGTACTTTTACCTTGTGGGAAGTGTATATACAAATAGTCTTGTCCCAACGCTGACTTTATCCCGATACCTGCTGGGAAAAGGAACTGTCGGGTTTGGTACTTCTTATTTTCCGATTTCTAGAATTACGAGTAATCGTCTTTTGTTTCTCATGTAAATATTTATGAGCAACAATCATTTTCAAATGCATATATCAAAAATAAATCATTGGACGTTCTTGCAAAACAAAACCGAAAAAGAGAAAACAAATTGAAGTTTCTTGTGAATGTGATTTGTATTGATTTTTGAAGTTGGCCTGTAATAGGCGTTTTGTACAAGGAGGATGACGTCCTAGTAAGAGAACGCCGCCGAAAGATAGAAATTATACAATTTGTGTAAAGGAAAGAAAAACAGCTATGTGAAACACCCCATTGGGTTCCAACTCTGCTATTGCCTTTATATCTCCAAGCATCTCATCACTTTGCCACTGGGCCGAAGGTTGATTAGATTGATTGGTGCCGTCCGAGCTTGATAGTCGATACCGAAGTCTGGTCGCAAGATGATCAAATGAGACATAGTGGTATGCTTCAATCCCTAACTTTTTCCTGGATTGCCCTTTCGGGTTTTCAATCCACCGGGATACCCTTTTTTGCCCAAGCCTCCCTTCTAGATTTTTGACTTGTTGGGTGTATAGATTTTTTCATTTCATCCCTTACTTTTGCCCGAACCCTTTTGGTTCGCCGGGAAGCCCTTATTTTTTCCTAGGCCAGTCGACCTAGCGGGTCTTTGATTATGCATAGTATCTTTTCACTATGTCTGCATTGACGAGGTGAGGAAGGTCGTCACCGTTCATGGTGGTTAGAATCATAGCTCCTCTCGAGAAAATGTTCTTAACCACAAATGGCCCTTCGTACGTGGGAGTCCATTTGCCCCTGGGATCACCTTGCGGCAGTATGATGCGTTTGATCACCAGATCCCCGACTTGATATTCTTGACGCCTGACTTTCTTGTTAAAAGCCTTGATCATATGCTTTTGGTACGTCTGACCATGGCAGATAGCAGTAAGCCTCTTTTCATTGATTAGATTTAACTGATCAAGTCGAGTTTGGATACAGTCGTCTTTGTTCAAACCCGCATCCTTCATAATCCTAAGAGAGGGTATCTAGACTTCGATGGGTAAGACTGCTTCCATGCCATACACTAGAGAGTATGGTGTTGCCCCTGTCGACGTCTGTGCTGAGGTACGGTACCCATGAAGAGCGAATGGTAACATATTGTGCCAGTCTATATATGTCACTGTCATCTTCTGTACAATCTTCTTGATGTTCTTGTTAGCTGCTTCAACAACGCCATTCATCTTCGGTTGGTAGGGAGAAGAATTATGATGCTGTATCTTGAACTGTTTACAGATCTAGGTGATCATTGTGTTATTGATATTTGTACTGTTGTCAGTAATAATCCTTTCTGGTATACCATATCGACATATTAGATTGTGTCGGATAAACCGCGCCACGACATTCTTGGTTACTGTAGCAAAGGAAGCTGCCTCAACCCACTTTGTAAAGTAGTCAATGGCTACCAGAATGAAGCGATGCCCGTTAGACGCAGTAGGTCTGATTTAGCTGATCATATCAACACCCCCACATTGCAAAAGGCCAAGCAGCCCTCAAAACATTCAGGGGCATCAGAGGTACATGCACCTTATCAGCATAGACTTGGCATTTATGACAGGACCGAGAGTGTTGATAACAATCGACTTCCATAGTGGACCAGTAATATCCTGCCCGTAGGATCTTCTTAGCCATGGTGTGTCAACTAGAATGGGTGCCGAAAGTGCCTTCATGTAGATCCGTCATGATCCTTTCTGCTTCGCTCTTGTCTACACACCGTAGTAGTGTGGAGTCATGGTTGCGTTTATAGAGGATCCCATTGCTAAGAAATAACTTCACAGTGAACCTCCTCAGAAACTTCTTATCATTGACAGATGCCCCTTCAGGATATTCCTGAGCCTCGAGGTACCTTTTGACTTCGTGGAACCAGATTTTGTCTTCCACTTCTTTGGTATCGATCTCACAGCAGTGTGCTAGTTCATCTAACCTATCAATGGTAATCTGGGGAGCTTCATTGTCCCACCTAACTTTGAACATAGAAGACATGGTAGCTAGCGCGTCCTCCAACTCTCTTCTCGTGGGAAATGTTCAAAGGTTACCTCCTCAAAGTGTGGGAGCAATGTCAGTACATACTCTCTGTGAGGAATGAGATTCAGGTGTTTCGTATCCCACTCGCCTTTGATATGACTTATCACCAGAGCGGAATCCCCGAATACACTTAAGAACTTAATCCTCGGGCCAATAGCAGCTCGAAGACCCATAATACACGCCTCTTACTCCGCCATGTTATTGGTGCAGTTGAAACATAATCGGGTGGTGAACGGAGTATGATGTTAGAACAAGATTGGTTCTGATCATATCTCAGAGTTTTGATGATAACAATAAATTATATTTTATATAATTGATACTCTGATAAACGGATAATCAATTTAGTCTCTCATTATGCTGAACTTGAATTGGTGCCATTCCCTTCAGTATAATATCGTGCCAGATGCAACAAAGGATGAGTCCTTCTTTTTCCTTCTCGCGAACCACGGGAGCGCCTAGCACCCAGAGGAGCAAAGCTAATTATCCTTTCATGGTAAAGCGGCATATGAAAAAGGGCTGGCCCGTCAAACGTCCGGTTCCTTCGCGAACGAAGTTCAGAATCAACAAGGGTTCGTAGAACGAAGGGAGTGTACAACTGGGGCGCAGCCCCAGTTTTTTGTTCGTAACGAGGGAGAGATATAATGGAGTTCTTCACGAAGTTCGAGACAAAGTAATACAAAACTTCTCTATGGCCTCCTCGTTTTGAGACATTATGGCTTTGGGGTCGACCCCAGTAACAAAGAAGGAATCCATAAAAACGTGGGATCCGACACCATGATAAAATACTACCCTCATGATTAGACCATGTCCCTGAGATTTGATAAAAGAAAGGTGCATTAGCGGTTAATACGTTGTAATTGGATAAGTTATTAGGAATATGACGGAACAAAAGATCGAGGAAAGAAAGAAGAATGCACCAAAATGTAGGTGCTGCACCAAACGCAGGTGGTTGTTTCTTGTTGTAAGTGAATGCAACGAAAAGACCCGGAAATAACGATAAATGAAAGAATTCATATATTATGTACATTTCGTGCTCTGCTCATTTATAAATTTCTGCTTTGTTATTCCCATCATCCGGTAACCACAGGATGATCCACAAGAAAGGTGGCAGGATTCGAACCTATGGCCGGCCCGCCCCTGACCTACTGGGTTGGGTGGTCGGGTTAGCACCCCTCTAAGCCCATGTACCCGAAACAGATGCGTTGTGCTACCCAGCACTACACCTTGTCTCCCCTACTCCTCTTCTGGTTATGCCATTACCAATCACGGGTAACCCCCGGGCCGGCCGCCCCTGACCTAATAAGATAAGAACTATTATCCTTATGACCAAACAGCGATAGTTTCACGATCCCGACCAGCAACTTGTTTGGAGTAGGGGCATCCAAGCTTGTCCAACCTAGACATTGTAACTGAAAGTCCTGCCTACTTGTAGGCTTAGGGTAGTCCTCGAAAACCTTCTTATTTTACTGGCTTGGGAAAGACCTGTAGGCTATGGATCCCACTAATGGAATGGGACTATAACCATACTTCCATGGTCTAGGTTCAAGGACAATAAAGATTGAGGCTTGGAGTATCTAAGGCTTCATGGACCCAATTTTTAGGGCTTTTAAGGACGGACTCGCTAGTGTCCCAAGTATTTACCGGTGAAACTACTAACTGGTTTTTATGTGGGATCAATAACAATAGTGTTGTGGCACTTCTTTATGACTTTCCTTTATCATACGATGTCTCTTTTTCAACTGCAAGAACATGAGAATCTATCTCAACGGGAAAGTCTATATCTTCTCGCATTCTAAACTAAAGTTACGGTACCAACGACTACATTCGTATCCTGATCCTACTCTTTCATTCAAACCTAAGATCATGAATCTCCTGAGCCCATTGACAAGAACCTAGGCAAATAGGCCCAAAAGAGGCTTTTTTTCCGGCACACTTGAAATGTCCGTCTTCGAGGGGTTGATACCAATTTTATCGAGAGTGGCAGAATTCCAATTCAAGTTTACGAGGGAAAGGTGCAATTCACTTAATTCTTTCTATGTAATAATCATGCTAGGCTATGCCCCTTAACCTTTTGGTATCCAGAAAGAAAAGAAGAGGAAGTGGCTTTGATCCTATTTTCTATCAAAGCAGGTTCTACCACTGCAGGCCCAATCCTACTACCCGGATGATCGTCTTGGGTAAGATCTTTCTATATAAAAATATCAGTTGGATGCCTACACGCGATCCTTTTTTTCTTCCTTATATCGAGGAAGAGAAAAAGAGGCCTATATAAAAAGTATAAACAACTTAGACTTCTATCATAACACGGATCACACTGTATATAGATTGGGTGTATGTCTGAGCTATCTTCTTTGTACCATCTAGAGGGCTGGCTGTGATTTCCCGGGGGCAGGACACAAAGCCCCAACATGCATGGTCTAGCACTACGATGGAAACTGGATGTCTGCCTTTGTGAGTACCTATCTTCTTATAGGAAATTGCTATTCAACAAAATATAAGATTACAAAGATTCAGCCTTAGTCTTAGTAGAAGTGGGTAGCGGAACTGGGTAGACGGTCTATCCCCCTTTAACTTAAGTTGTATTTCCAATTTACTCTCTGTCTCTAAAAAAAATCGTAACACAGTCCAGGATAAGTGTGACCGCGTATATATACTATATAGAAATCCTGCCCCACACCCGTGGGTAATTCCCCCGTAACTTCGGGAGAAGGTTTCTGAACTCCTATCTATTCAACCTGGCCTATCTTCTTTCTAACAAGAGGACGCTAAAATAAAAATGATAGCAAACTAGAAAGATACTGACAGAAGAAAAATATCAAATCATAGACACCGGAGAGAACGATCATACCAGATGATAACTATCTTAGAGAATGCTAATTTTACCATCAGAGAAAGCACCCTGTTACATACTGCCTCGCTCTTCTCTCTATCGTAGTTCTTTCTCGCAGAGTAAGGATTTTTAATTCTATACTAGTTCCTATGGCGTAAAGGAAAACATTTCGGCTATTACATCTACGGGTCAACGACTTTCAGGAGTCTCTAAAAGAGGGGATGGAAGCAAGGTCCAATCCCATTATTCTAACTTATAATATAATACGATCATCTCACAGATGAGAAGTGAGCAAGCCTTTCTCCAATGGATTCTAACAGCGCAGACTAGGCATCTTTATCTGATTGAAATTTCTATATTAGTAATAAAGTCCCTTGTTTCAAGGCTAGGGCTTCCCGGTTTAATTGCTATTTGAATTTAGCAGCATTGGCCGTAGAATCAAATATGGACGGTGACTGACCACTAGATATGTCGATCGAGACCTTGCTTCACCACGCCCAAGCCAGAGACTAAGTAGAGTTGAATAAGGTGAAGATGGATACCGCTCATAAAGAGCTTGGTTAAGTGGTATGCCTTGCTGGTTGGATAATAATCCCTTCCATTTCTTTCGACTTGCTTGCTACTGGATTATTATAATATAAGACAAACAGGTTTGCATTGGTAGCTATTCTTAGCGGTGACATACTTAAATAAAAAAGTAATATATAATTATTGAAGTTAAACCACGGGAAAACAAGAACAGGAAACAAGACAACGACCAACGATTTGTTCCCTCACTCCCAATAGAATATATAAAGCAATGAGAAACCGCTCGGGACCCATATTCCCATGGTCCCTTCGCTCAACAAAAAGTCATAACAATAAGGATATTATCTAACAGATACACTTTCTAACTACTATAACAAAGTCATCAAGCGAAGAGTTCATTTTCATAGACAAACTCTCGATGAATTGCCCTAAGATTAACTCTCCTGATACTCTGTTAGTAGTTAATGTCCGATCAGTAGCAATAGTGTTGTGGCACTTCTTTAAGACTTCTTTATGACTTTCCTGTTGATCCGAGAGTCTAATCTCAATAAATTATATTTTATATAATTACCCGACTAGTAACCCCCTTAGGCATGCTCTTTGTACAACCAAGCAAAGAGCTAGTGAGGGCCGGAATGGAATATCGTATGTAGTGTAGAATTAGATCTTAAGCTCTTTACTAGGATTGGAACAAGCGAGGAACGAGTGACCACAAGCTCCGCTTAAGCGTTCGACATGCAGTTAGCTTAAAACATGTTAATCATGTGGCCGAGCGAAGCGCACCTGCGTGAAGCAGCCTAGCATCACTTTAGATAGGAGCATAATGGATGACTTACAACTAAAAGTAAGTTCTACGGATCGATATATCGTACGACGTAATGGAGATCTTGGTCTAGGTCTGGTGGTTAGCAAAATTCGGGACCTAACGATGTTCAATTCGTCACATGAACGGGAGCGGACGATTCCCTCGTCTCTCCCTTTTTCGGGGAATGGCTGCAAGCAATCACAAGCAAGTGATTGAATGAGTGGGGGGCTCCGAAAGCACATGCGGGATAAGTAGGTCTTTCAGGAGACGGTCTAAGGGTCCGGTCTAGAAAGAAAAGATAACTCTCAACAAGCTGGAACTAATCAAGATCAATAGGAAGAGGAGTTAGCTATAAATTAATTTTTTTGACAAATTTCATGCCACGACGATCTATATGGAAGGGCTGTTTTGTTGATGCATTCCTGTTGAAGTTGAAAAAGAGACAAACACTCATGTTTCAGCTCCCGAATCTGCTTGGATTATCGTATAATAAGAGGAGCTGTCTTAGGAAATGACTGAACTGAAAAGACAGATGCCACCGCTGCGAGGGAGTCACTTGTCTTATCTTGCGGTGTACTCACTCCCGTTACGAGAATGAAATGACGCCCCGGCTCGACTCGATACCAAGACTCCTTCCTTACAACTCGCACCAATAGCGGCCGACACTGAGCGGCTGGATATTTATTGAAAAGGCAGCCGCCTCTCCCCCCCTAGCCGCCTACCTACTCGTGCTCGTATCTCGATCGGAGGTTAAGAGTTTGGTCCGACGGAAAAACAGATGTCGTCTGTATCAAGTGATACGTTAATTGCTCCGTAGTGCTTCGCCACTGTGATACGGTGGGAGAACTGACTAGAGGTTTTGCGTTTGTTTTTGCAAATGTTTCGGTTGAGCAAGAGTCGCCACCAACTTTTTATTTTATCCTAAGGAAAGGTTAAAATGCACAGCAAAAACCTTTGAGATGTTTTCTTAGGTTCGGGGAGTGGATTATAGAAAGGGAAGGTATTTGCACCCTTTCTATCCATGGTTATCCATGGGCTCTTAGTTACTTGCTTAGATCAACTTGCCTTGATTTTCAATTGTTTGAAATGGTGCTTTCAATTGTTTGAAATGGTGCTTTGTGTGTGCGTTTGGAAAATGTTTTGAAAAGAGGCCAATGTGGTGGCAACCTTTGTAATGATCCATGTTGGGATGTATACAAAAGTGTATGTGTTTTGAAAAGTTTTCAACGTTCTTGAAAGTTGTTTTGAAAGTGTTGTGATGTGTGTTTTGAAAAATAGGCAAGTGTTTTTGTTTTTTGCAAGTTGGCAAGTAACCAAGAGCTATCTACCCTAAATTTCTCAAAGATCTTTGCTACGTTTTAACCCTTTTAACAATTTTGTTCCACCATTGTATTTGGTGGACAATCTTGTGTTGGGATGTGAACGGGACGGGCGTGGGTCATCGTTTAGACCATGATTGCAATGGTGCTAAGCATCTTTGGGCAATTTTCCTTTAAGGGGACTTGATCATTTTTAGGCAACTTTCGAAAGCGTCATCGAGGGACTATGATCATTTGATTGTTTTGTTTTTGCCAAAGATACCTAACATGCAATATGGCTCATTCTTGAAGGCAACAAGTGGAGTACCCTAGGGGTGCAAGTGTGATTAGTGTTGTCCATTTTCATGCTTGTTTATCTTGAAATTAGGTCAAACTATTTTGGTTAATTTTGTATACAAAACCCTAATTCTAACATGGCATAATTAGAAAGCTTTTAAATGCGAAAAATAAAAGGTCCTAAGCTATTACAACACAATATATGGGATGGGGGTACAAATGTCAAATGGGGATATTTTAGCAAGAAATTAAACCTAACTATTACATCC